GTGAATGGTTATACCCTTGTCTAGGGAACCCCGCTATCGTACATGGCTCACTAGTCACTCGGTCGGTGACGAAGTCCATTGGATACAGCCTCAAGGTTTCCCAGATCGCAGCCTCGAGATATTTCATCTTGTGATAGTCTTCGAATGTCACGTTGTCGGGATCCGAGATGTTCTCAATGACATCCCGGTAAGCCTTCTCCTGCATTTGTGGGTGTGTGGCGAAGAGGTACATGGCGAATGTCAGTGCATAGGCTGAAGTCTCGAAGCCAGTTATCAAGAAAATAATCATTTGGGAGATGAGTAAGTCGTCTGTGAGTTTTGGGTTCGCTTTCTGACTCTCCAGCCAGGAATCGAGGAAGTCCAACTCTTCCGGATTCCTGATCTGCTTCCGACGCTTTTCGAGCAGCGATCTCGAGAATTGAACGAAGTAGTTGTCGATTTTCTTCGGCGGATACTCGACGAAAGGCAGGTATTTCAGAATATTTGGGAATGCCATCATCAGATTGAATCCCAAGCTGCCGTTGAAGCAGCCGGTGAAGCTCTCGACGAACTTGTTATTCGGATCATCGAAAGCATCGATGTCCAAGCTGAAGGTCACGGCAGCTATTGCGTTCATGACTGCAGCGTGCGAGTAATGAGCCGTGGAGATCTCTTCATTGGTGTCCGCAAGTTTCTCCAACTTCGATGTGAGGAGCTTCGCAGATCGTTCGAACTGATCTTTCATGAGTCTCAGTTTCGATCCCGTCAAGACGCTACCGCTAAGAGGTCGGACCAGTTTCCATTCCTTGTACCTCACTGCGAGAACGTTGTGATTCCAAAGTTTCGAACCGGTTTCCTGCGTCATCGTCCGAGCATGGGCTTTCGAGAAGTTACTCGAGAGGGCTTCTTTGATCCCTTCTCGAGTGCTGACCCGCAGAACAGGACTCAGACCCGAATACGTACCGTATACGCTTCCGTATTTCTTGTTGTATTCTTCGATCGAATTGAAGATGTCCACCCGGCTCTCACAGAAGAGGAAATAGTAGAGATAGCTGCCGTACGATTCGTAGGGTATACCCTTATTCCTCCAGTATGTAGCGGCTCTATGGATTTCGCGGAAGAGCAAGATCAGCAGCACCGTACAAATCGTTGATAAGCAGAGGAGAATCATGTTCCTCGATTCACCGGGAAGCCTCTGCGCCGACAGGCAGGAGACTCTGGATTGCAGATGCTGTATGTAGTCGACAAACTGCAGTGGAAGAGAGAGAAGGAGGTCTCAAAGGTCGGCGCTGGATCGCTGACAGATCTTGCTGATATTGGCAAGATCACTAAGCTCCCCGAAGCTTGCAACAGTGTAATCTGACCTAGGCGGGTGGGAAACTGCTCACAATCCGTAGAATGCGGTGACAACTCGGAATTAGGCGCGATTTCATTCTCGCAGACGCCGCGCCGCCCAGACCACGTGAGCACGCCATCTGACCTACCGACTTAGATTTCAAGTCATCGACTTTGAAATGAACGAACAAGCCGTTGTCTACCCCGAATGGCCATCCCCTTAATAATTTTATTAAATTACGATGTTTGTCTGTTACCGAACCAATTCTGGCGCTCTCCTCCTCCGAAAAGAATTCAAAAAATCTTTCAATCGATGCCCAATCGTCCGAAGACGTGCTTCTCGAGCTGCTCATTCGCATGCTTCCCGCGAGATCTACGTGTCTTTCCGATCATGCTCATTCTTCAGCTGATGCGGGGCCGTCCCATTATGATGTCTAAACCGCCGTTCTGGGCGCGAAGCGCTCACGGCTAGTCTTGTCATGAATAGCGAATGGCAACCATCGTTGAGGTGAACGAAACTCTCGCCAACACCATGCAGGCTCTTCTTGCAGCCTCTCGAGTGTATTCCATGAGACCACCGTATTTGCGTCCCAGGAAACTCCCGACGCGACGAGTCGCCTGGATACAACCGTGGAGTTCCCAGATTATTGAAGGGTCACGTGCTCGTCAGGCCCGTGTGATTGGATCACTCGAAGCGATTGGATACTCCGGTGAGAAACGAAAAGAGCAGATCGTTTCTGCAATTCATTGAATGATGATGATCTGAACGATTGGGCTGTACTGATATCAGGCTCGTCTTGAGGCGACCTTCACTCTCAGAGTGTCTTTCGGGAAAGGCAGAAACATCTGCCCGGGCTGTCTCTCTATTCAGCTCAAGGGTCTCCCGTAGCTCGCGAGGCTCGATGGGGTGATTCAACACGGATGCGAGTTGCACAGCTGCGAGCTGATGGGGGCTCCATCGTCATCAGTCATGAGTCATGACACTGTTTCCTTCCGAAATTCTGACTCTTCGTCAGGATAGCTCTTGTCGAGCTCGATCCATTGGCTCGAGTCGCCAAATAGCAGTCGATTCGAAGACCTTGATTATGTGGATTCTGATCAGCCCTCGGGGTCTCGCCTCGATCATACCAAAATATTGTTTTGGAGATGGTCGATACAATCGAGGTCCGAATGCGATACATGGAATATCCATTATATCAATTGTCTGTCATTCAATGGTATAACCAAGGTTTTACTGGGACACTTATAGGGTACTTGGTTTCGCTTGTGTTTTCGAGCCTCCGGACTG